CACAACTTTTTTAGACTTGCTAGGTAAACAACAAATTGTGATAAAAATCTACAATACGATAACAATTTCTCAGACTTTGTCACTTAAACAAGAAAGTATAGTGCTATGTCAAGATAGGACATCTATGTGACACCCTTACTACCCCAACACATATATTGTAATAATGAAAACTTACAAATAAATTTTTTTAATTTCGGTAAAAGGGTTCACATGAGAATCTTCAAAATTATCCTTCAATAACCACAATAATAAAAATGAAACGCAAGAGTTTATAAATTGTTTTAAAAAATAACATTTACAATTCCAAATCCAAATAAAAACATATGTTCTAAAAATCCTTTGCCCCGATGTCACAATATCAGAGCATCTCCACAATTCAACTGTTGGCATACTAGATGCCACTTGAAGCCGGATCTTCCTCACCTAAAACATCCACAATTTATACGGTGAGAAAATAAAACATCCATATGTAAAGCACATACACAACAATGTAATCTCATTATATAATGAAATATTTACAAGCATTTCTATATATTATAACTCTATTAAGCATGCATCATTTTCACTTCAAAATTCGCAATCACACCCATTTATCTCAAATCTTGCAATTAACATTATCATTTTCACATTCAGAATTCACACAATCTTACAATTAACACTATGCCAAGGCCACGCCACAACTGACATAAGTGATACAGGTTAATTGCCTCACTCATCCCACACCATGCTAGGGTCACGCCCTCCCTGTAGCATCACTTACCCAGGGGCCGTGCCATCCCTGGTCATTGATGTGAGGAACCACAATCACATTACAATCCACACAATCTCTTACAATTAACCCTATGCCAGGGCTACCATATTTGACATAAGTGATACGTGTTAATTGTCTTACTCATCCCACACCATGCCAGGGTCACGCCCTCCCTGTAGCATCACTTACCCAGGGGCCGTGCCATCCCTAGTCATTGATGTGAGGAACCACAATCACATTACAATCCACACAATCTCTTACAATTAACCCTATGCCAGGGCTACCATATTTGACATAAGTGATACGTGTTAATTGTCTTACTCATCCCACACCATGCCAGGGTCACGCCCTCCCTGTAGCATCACTTACCCAGGGGTCGTGCCATTCCTAGTCATTAGTGTGAGGAACCACAATCATAATCAAATTCACATCCATAAAACATCTCATCTCATAGCTCAATTCCATACACACATCAAATAGGTCCAAAATAATGGGTTTCATACATATCAAGCAATTCATATCTAAATCATCAATTTTTATCAAATAATATAACAATGATAATAATAAATTAATATAATACTCAACGGAATTACCAATTTAATTAATTTCAACCTAACGGTAAAACCCCCAATTGTTTTAAAACCTAGCTCACAGACACTTTTCTACAGTTTCGTTCTTCCTCTCAGATCATCATTCTTACAAATTAAATATATATTTCTAATCCTCAACACATACAGAATCTAATGGGATCATCAATTTTTCAAACAAAAATATTCCAATTTTTCCAAAACCTAGCCTACAGACACTTTTCTATAATTTCGTTCTCTCTCCCAGAGCATCATTTTTACAAATAAATCATATATTCATAGCCCTAAATATATACAGAATCACATGAGACCAATAATTCTCCAAATAGAAATGATTATAAAATTTCTCACAATCCTAAGGGTTCTTCCTCTACCCAATTCCCTCATGTAACTCTACATATAAATAATCCCCTTTTTCCCCCGTACCTGGATATGTAGAAGCTGAATTTATACGAGATCTGGTTGGTCTCCCTCGCTGGGTTCCCCTCGGTCTGAAGCAGAAAGTAGAGGGAAAAGAAGAGAGAGCAGAAGAAAAGATATCAGAAAATGAGAGGTGTGCTTTTTTAGAGTGGTAGACAGCTCAATTTATAGGCCTCAGACTTCGCTAGAACGGCCCGTTCCAATTTCAGAACGGCCGGTTCTGGAACGCAAAATCGTGGGCAAAAATCACACCCAGAACGGCCCGTTCCCAAACCAGAACGGCCCGTTCTGGTTGCATTTATTACTCATAACTGTCGTAGCCCGTTCCAAGCCCGTTTCCACTTAAAGTATAAAGCAGTTTTTAATAGTCCAGAACGGCCCGTTCCAACTTGAGAACGGCCCGTTCTGGGCTACGAACTAACATACAATTTGGTAGTTTGGAACGGCCTGTTCCAATTCCGGAACAGCCCGATCCCAGCTACTAAATCACATACATTTTGGTAGTTTGGAACGGCCCGTTCCAATTCCGGAACAGCCCGTTCCAAGCTACTAAATCACCTCTATACCTTTATAAAATTTACCAAAATACCCTCAGTTTAAAAAAAATAAAAAAAATGAAATAAAACTGGGGTGTTACAATCTGGGTTTAGGCCTACCATGACATTAGCTAGCTCAATTAAGCCACCTATGAGATTAACCTACTGACTATCTTCCAAATACTATAACCCTTTGATACTTGGTTAGCAACTAAGTTTCTGACTTCGTACTTTACTCAAATTGACCGCTTGTAATCAATATAACTCAACCTGATCCTTATACCGTGGTCGCTTTGTACACGTGTGCCTCGACTTTGCCTACACACAAAATCAACTAAGTCCTATAGGAGAATAACACATCATCCACTCCAAGGGACAACTTCCCAAGGAGGATTTTTCAATGAATTGGGCTCTCAGAGCATCACAACTATCTCAATTCGCACAATGGGATGAGCAACTTTGAAAATATTTTTCCTAGTCTTAGTGATCAATAACTCATCATCAGAGCACAACAAACAGTTATCATCTCATCAACTCAACTATCAACTCATTTCAACTTTAAATAACACAGTCAACTCAACAGCTCAACCATCACAAAGTAACATCTTTTCAACACATAGTGCAACATACAACTTTATAACAACATACAAAACTCATCTAACAACTTAGTAACACAGTCTACTAACAACTTTTGGATCGTCTCAACACATCTACACACTTCGCATCATGCTCCTCACAACTCACAACATTATCATCATGCACTTCACAACTCTCAACTAAATCATCTCATCATATTTCATAACATATAAATAGTCAACACAACTTGTAAACAACTTCAACAATATACCACATATTCAACACATTTTTATTTAGCACAATAACTCACTCAACACATAATTCCTCAACTCATTTAGCACCTTTACACAACTATACAATTTCACAACTCAACTACAACATGCATCTCACATCTCACTACCTAAGTATCCTTATCATGATATACAATATCATCTTCAACACAAAACACATCAACCCATGCTATGCAATCATCTCTATCCACTTACAACATTCACAACACATAATAGCTACTCATACATCTCGTTTACATCCCATCTTCATCACAAAAGCATCACCAACAACAACATTATTCAATGTTTTATCATTTATTATCAACACAAAACATTTTCATCACATAATACAACTCATACTACGTGTTTATAACTCATCTATCATGCCAACTTACACACACAAACAACATAAATCAACCTAAGCACTCAAAACAACTTTCAATTTAACCAAGTCACTTATTGTGAAATGGTAACCTTCACATAAAATAGCATGTATGAAGTTATATTACTCCTATCATGCTCATCCTTATCTCATATGAAAGATAAGAAGATTTCCTACAACTCTCATGAAGACATAAAGTCCTAATGCCATCATCTACTTTGTTAAAAAATGTAAAAATCGCAACAACTAGCCTAAATCCTGACAGTTTGACCTTTGCTCATTAAAAAGGTCATAACTAGAGTTTTAGACCTCCTTTTGGGGAGATTTTAGTGCCATTAGAAACATAACATCCAAAGTTACAACTTTCATGAAAACCCCAAGACCAAATTCGATCATCTACGTACCCTTGGCGTTGTGGCGCTCAATTCAGCATTTCAGCTTAGGCTTTTTGCTTGTTTTGTTTTCTCCTAGAGCTATAGTCCCCAACCTGGAGCTATAGCGCGAGGAGTCGTGTGTCTCACAAAAACAACGATTTTAAATTTGAGAGACTAAAAATAAATTTATCCTAAACTTGAGAGATTAAAAATATATTTAAATCTAAATTATATATACGAACAAATATTATGTTTGAAATTTACATAAATTATATTTTATATTCATGATAAATAATATAAATCATAATACATGATTATTTTATTTATTGATAATTTATTTTATAAATATTAAAAATTAATTTATATATAATTATCATAATTAAAAATTGAATTAGATAAAAAGTCAAAAAGATTTTTAAAATTTTTTTATTAATTTTTTTTCTTCTAAAAATACTCTTATGTAAAATCGTAAGCTAATACATAAGAGTGGGTAAAAAAAGTTATACTCTTTTAATTATTTAAATCAATCAATGAAAATTCAAAGCTAAAATTGATAAAATTATAATCGATTATTTTCGATATATGAGTATCTCAATATGTCAAAATTGCAATCAATTAATAAATATAAAATATTAATTAATGTGTTTGCGTGAAGGAATAATAATTTAAAAGTAGACATACGATTTCTTATCGATTATTTCATAAGGTGAATTTTTTATAGGAAAAAAATAATAAGGTATTATAGAGTGAAATGCGTAGGTTGAAAATAATCATTCAATAATTATTTCCATTATATAAATAAATCTATAATAAATAAATAATTTGATTATATATTATATTCTAATTAAAACTTAAAATAAGTAAGTAAATAATTTTGAATATGTAAATATATCTTAAATTTATAATAAATAATTAATACTATGACAAAAAAATATTTTTAACTATTATTAATAAAAATTTGAAAACTAAAATCGAAGTAAATCTGAAAACTTCATATTAAAGAGGATAAGAAGTTAAAAATATTAAAACAAATAAAAAATAATGAAAGATAATATTTATATTCTAAAGATAAAATATATATTTAATTTTGATATAGGTAGATAGTATACTGCTTAGTGCGCGGCCGCAGAGGGTGAAGGAAGGAGGAGAACAAGTCTCTCACTGCCTACACGCAGACGCAGCTGAACAAATCCAACCAAAACGAGTGCTTCTTCATCTCCTCTGCTCACTCTTCAGTCTCGTGGTTTCTGTAATTTTTTCCTTAGGGTTTTCTTTTCCTTAGTGCAAGATGACTCGTTCTAAAGCCAGCTCCAAGAAACAACGTGGCGTTGATTTTAAGGTTTCGCATATGGCCCTGATACAACTCTCATATGTGGATTATGTTTATGTTTATGTGTTTTTTTTTTTAAAGTTTTTTACAATGTGTCACTTGTTCATAATTTTCAGAAAATAAGGCGAAAGGTTGGAAGGAAGCTGCCACCACCTAAGAATACAACAGATACTGAAATTAAATCTAAAGGTACCCTTCTGCTCCAAAATTTAGATATGTTTCATTACATGTTCATCTACCAATGGGCATGCATGGTTTGGTTTTGCGTAAAACCAAACCAAATCCAAGTTAAAACTAGATGTTTGGATTGGATTTTGAACCAGATCACTTTTTCTTTTTAATACTAGTTTTGCTTTTGGCCTAACTGGTAATGGACAAGTAATAAACTGGTTTGGTTTGAAAACCTGTTTACATTATTTGGATTTTTGAATTGTGATTTGCTTTGGATCATGGATTTGTTTAGTTTAATTGGTTCTTTTGCACAGCCCTACTGTATTCTATGTTGGCAAAGGAAAGTGCAAGAGTAGTGATAAAATTTGTTGCATGAACTTAATAATTAGTTTGTGTTTGTTGATGCTAATAACAATCTGAATTCTGAAGTGTTTTCCTTTGCCATATGTCGTGTTTTCACACAAAAAGAACCCAATAAAATGCTAGATTATCCTGTCAAACTAGAACATTATATTTTTTCTGAAGTTTAAGAATGTTCATCTGCTTCTGCTGTTAAAACTCATGTAGTAAAAAATCCCTCTCTCCTTCCCTCCCTCCCAATCTCTCTTCTAAACACACACAACTTAACAAATGAAATTTCCTTTTTAATTGTTTTATAACTTTTAAGTTAACCAACATATCTGCAACAGCAATTGTTCTGCCGGAACAGAGTGTAGCGGCAGAGAAAGCTGGTTTGGCTGTAAACAAGAAAGGTTTGACTTTAAAAGAACTTCTCCAGCAAACGTCTCATCACAATGCAAAAGTTCGTAGAGGTATATATATTAATATATTGTCAGTATATAATTGCCTTTAAATGTGCATATCAGTGTCAATAATTCTTTATAGAACAATTCTGTATGTTTGAAATGAATAAAATCCTCAAAAAGATTAATCTTGATAAGCTGAGTTGAACAAAAGTTTTCAGCACAGTAGATATTAACTTGTTAGGTTATTTATTAACCTTAAAATTTAGAAGCCAGGTTATACTTTTGCACTTGCTACTAACATGAGGGGGGAATATGACTAATGTATGAACTATTTAAATAGTTCTCTCTATTTATTACAATTATAATGTATTTTTTGTTATTATAATTAACAGAACATTTTTATGTATTGAAATATTGATGAACCTTGGTCCGGAGCTGAAACACCTAACCTAGGTTTTGGTTTAGCTTTTAAAATTTCAGGAATGATAAAGGTCAGGTTGGTTTGAGTTTAAGCTTAAGGCCAAAAAATTAGGACCATGAACATGGTGTCAATATTAGTCACTATTTCCAAATCTGTCAAAAATAAAATTCAGCGGTCATTAATTATATTGTTTGGATCCTATGGAAGTTTCTCTAATGGCATGTCTTTATCGCTTTAATGTGTTGACCTGGTTCCTATACCTAATATTCTATTATTCTTTTTGAATTGTAATATCATAAATTAATTCCATTGCTTTATTTAATCCTGTTAAGCATTCCAATCTTTATTTAAATTTGGTAATCCTCATATTAATACTCTTTCTTTTCCACCCGCTAAATTACAGATGCATTGATTGGTATTAAGGATTTATTCATCAGATATCCAGAAGAACAGAGGTTGCACAAGTATGCTGCTGTGGAAAAACTTCGTGAGCGCATTGGTGATGATGATAAAGTGGTTCGAAAATCATTATATGATCTTTTTAAAGTAGTGATTTTACCTGGCTGTAAAGAGGTAATTTTCATTTTGTTTACTTGAATCACTTTTCTCACACATTGGGATGATGCTCCATTGTCATTTAGAAGGATAAAGTATTGTAGGCTGCAGCTTTTTTTTCCCCTCCTATTTTGATAAAAAGAGTTCATGCAGAAGAAGGAAAATAATATAAAGCAGGTGGATTAAGAATTGTCCTCAAGCTGCACAGGGGACACTAGAGAAAAGAAAAGAATGATAAAGTACAGAACATCAAACAAGTAGCCCAGTACTTGCTGGAAGCCTAGGACTAGAAGAACCCTTAAAAATCTTATAAGCAAAAGGCCACAATTAGCATGAAGTGGGGTTGAATAAATTTATGACTAAAAGTTGTGGACTCATGCTCTGGCAAATGCACATTCCAGCCAGGCAGTGCAATATTATCATCCTACTCCATAAATCACTCATCCACCCTAAAACTATGCTGTTGAGAACTTGAGTCATTATGATTTCGTGTTGGCTTACTTTAAATATTTTAGAGAGAAAATTTTCATCTATAATAAACTCAAATATATTTCAATCAGGGATATAATACTTTCCAATTCATCTAAAATTAGTTTGATTATATTTGGTAATATTGACCTTCTGACATCAGAATATTCAGCCTCTGAAAAATAACCAATCATTTATTTGTTTAGAAGATTATATTTCCTGCAAGATTTTATCATTTGAACATCTTTCCACATATTGATGGGGGTTATAATTTAGAAATAGAAGTTAGAACTCCTCAATTGCATCATCATGTCTTCTAATGTTAGTATTAAAATATGCAATTAAATGAAAAGAGATTGATACATGTATAGCTTACCATGTTTGTTACATTGAAAAAGCTCAAAAGAGAGTTTGTCTCTAAACTGAGCTAGCAAAGGTGTGCTTACATTTAATTTAATTTAAAATGCATTTTGATTATTTTCCACTAAAGGAAAAGCACAAGATAGTGTGGGCTTAGAAGATGGAAATCGGATCTCTTTTTCTGTTACGAAAAAGCAAATAATGGTTTTTCATGATTTTTGTTTTGCCATATCGCTTCTGGTTATTAGCATAAGTTGTCTGGCTACAATACTCTTACTCTATGAAGCTGATTGCTATCCTCATTGGTTTTGAATTCTGATTCTGAGGATCTAATTTGTTTTCCTTTGATGCATCTTGTAATCTTTATATGATTATATCATTACAGATTTACAGTAAAAATTGATCTATTTAAAACTTCATTTGCCTTATTCTGTTTCTTGGTCTCTCTTATTTTGTAGGATAATCAAGAGCTGATCATTTCTTTATTAATGCCTTACATTTTTAATGCAATGACTCATTTGGCGGTTGATGTCCGAATCATGGCATTTGATTTCTTAGAGCTCATTCTTGAGTTTTATCCTCCTTCCTTTTCATCTCATGCAGAAAAGGTAATATTATCTGCCATATTTTAAATTTTTACTAATATGTTAGAACTTAAAATTGCCTCTTGAAACCATATTTTGTTTTAAGATGCAACTCTTTGTTCTATGGTGATGGGGGGAAGTGTTGAAGGTGTTTTACTCATTTGATACATGTTGTGGGCTCCTTAACAATTTCTGATGCACTTGTTATTGGATTTTGCATCCACCTCTACTGTGAAGCTTTTATTTATTTAAATAATGTCAACACTTATCTTATACAGTTTAATGCAAGTGGTCTCTGAATTTTATGCCATTTTCTGTACTGAAATGTTGCCTAACAATAGGAAGAGAAAAATAAGCCAAGTCTTCTATATATCTTTGGATTTGATAGAACTTTGCGTTGATTTGTGTATGGTTTTCCCAGATATGGCTAGCTTAAAACTTGTGGGGCAATTTCCTTGTTATTTTAAATATTCTTATTCTTATTTCCAACTTCATTTTATTCTGAATCCCCATCTTTTTATTTATTTATTTATTTATTTATTTTTAATTATATTACAGTTTGAACACTTGTATGAGGAAATCTGCTTAAAAAATAATCACTGTAATTTATTTCTTAGTTGTGTTATTTAAATATACACTGCAATTTATTGCATTTCTATTTCCCATGGTTTTTCATGATTGGTTCCTATGCCAACATTGTCATATCAGTGTCCTAACCTGTTATTTTGTTGTATTCTTCATTTGCATACTTTTATTCTTCAATTGTTCCTTATATTGAGTATTATATCTCCTGTAATTGTATTGTATTTGATGCTTAGAATTCACTTACTTATGTTGGTTGAATGGTTAACAGATTTTTCAGAATTACGAGGATATTCTAAGGAAGAACCAGTTCTATTTACAGGACAAAGGAAAACTAAAGGATGCTCTTGCTGGATTGGTTCACTGCTTGTCACTCCTGCCATGGAATAAAAGAGATACTGATTTTCATAATAAGGTATTTTATTTTGATTTAACTGTGAAAATTGGTAAGACTTTGTGAGATGAATTGGCAACATAATTGTAAATACTCTGTTCAGTCTTTTTATTCAAGCTTTGGAATTTCTTTACATGACATAAACCTCCTTGTTTTTTTGCTTTAGAAATCTCTTTCTTTTTTAATTTCATTTCCACTTAGTAGCTTTATGCTTAAACTGGTTGAATTATTTGCATGTGGAACTTGTAATTTTTTCCCAGGATACATGTAGTACTTAATAGTCATGCACAAATCATAAATTCATAATACACATTACTATTTGTAATGGACAAACACTTATACTACAAATAGAGGTGGGAGTTATGACTTATGATTTAATTTTTCTTGGATTTCAGACAGGATAACTGATATACACCAACTGGTATGAGAATAAGGACTGAATTTTATTCAATTTAACTGATACGGAATTACAAATTACATAGGAAATTTAGTAAACTGATTTTAGTGCAAAGGTTTCCTCACAAGATGTTTGAGAGCTTGGTCTCTCCCTTCCTGAAACCACTAAAAAACTGCCTACTTTTTGTCCTGCTTCTTCTGCTATTTTTTATTCTGCTAATAACTGCCTAGAGGCAGTTATGCTTGCCCCCACTAATAGCACCCAGTGCCTAATTAAAATAACAATAACTGCTAAAATAATTAATAACTGCTAAACAATTCAGTCCTATTATAAAACCAAAGTCTTGGCTCTCCTCTTATAATATTTACTTATAAGAGGCCTAACAGTAACTTTCTGCTGGGTAAAACATTTCATTGTGATTAATGCTGTCTTTATTTTATCTTCTGTTATTGCATTCATCAATTTATTTCTGACACTTTTCCTAATTTTAATAGGATACTGGAAAAAGGGTATTGCACGCGTTTCAAGTTGATGTGTCTGTGAGCTCTAATGGTACATTAACTTGAAAATACAATTTGATTTTGAAAGAAATAACTAATTGACTGCTGTTGCACGAGTTTGCTTAATTTTCAAACATCTAAGATTTGTTATGCTTTTTATATTGTCAATAATTGACTGCCTTGTTCTATGCTTTATCTGTTTGTGTAGGTTTTTCTTTTAACATAAAGAAACTGAAGGATCTAGTGCCAATATTAATAAATAGTTTCCTGGAATTTATTCCACTGGTTCATGCTACGGAAGGTCTTGAAGGGAAGTCTTTTGGTTGTATGGTATCCATTCTTCGTAGCATAGATCTTATAGTTAGGTCTATTGCTTATGGGACTGATAAGGATTCAGAATCCCCAAGTTCTCAAGGTGGAACTGATGTGGCTGTACAGGATGTTACTATCTCTTCTGTGCTTGTGAAGAAATTATTTTCACTTTTTCCTCTCAATCCAGCTGAGCATCTTTCAGAAAAGGTATATATGTGTTTGTGTTTATTTATTTTACCCTTTAGTGAGCACTGGTGAGTAGAACTATAATCCTAAAATTGGGGTGTAGAGAAGATAGAACTGTTCAGATTGTCTATCTCCCCCTCTGATAACTTATTCAACATAAATTTGACTTCATCTCATCAAATATGATGGTTTGTTAAGTTATATAGTTATTGGGTTTTGTTATCTGTGAAAAAGACATTTTTCTTAGAAGGTAAGGCAGAGTACACAGAACAAGGAGGTATTGCTTAAAAATTTGCTTTGCATGCCAACCAAGGAGTTTCCCTGAAAAAAGTCACGTCTTCCCCTAATTAGGTCTAAGGAAAGATTGTGATAATATTTTCATGTCTCACGTCTGTTTTGGTGGATATCTTTTCCTCATAGTTGTATTCCCTCTTTTCTCTTAAATAAAGTTCAGTTTCCTCTGTGAGAAAAATATATCAAGTATAGTTGGAACTGTAAGATTGAAGAAATATGCTAAGTACCTTGGGAAAACCATATCACAAAAGCTAGTTGTTGTAGATAGACAGCCCAAGGTCTGATAAACCCTATACTAGAATCCCATACTTCCAACGTGGGACTCCAAATCCCAATGTTCCATACCTTGCTATTGGATCCTAACATTCCACCATGATTCGCAACACTAGTGTCCATGTGGGCTAGCTGTGTGCTATCCCTTTGACCAGTCCTAGACAAACAATGCAATGCTAATGTAACCCACCTGCACCACTCATCTGCAGCTGTTGTAGTTGGAGAGCCCAATGCCTTATTAACTCCACACTCAAACCCATCCTTCCAGTGTGGGACTCCAAGTCCTATACCTTGCAATCAGATCCTTACAAAATATGACTTTTGACAAGGCTTGTCTAGTGTTCCAACTGGCTACTTTGAAAAACGATTATTTATGTCTAAGCAAAAGCATCTAGCCCTATATTTTGACAAGTCATTTAGCAATATTTCTCGAGTTGGTCTTGATTAATCTGATTGCTTTGGATACCAGCCCTCAAATTTGACATGTTATGGTCAATTATATTCCAAAAATGAATTTAGTTTACTGCGCTAAATTGTTCTGTGATGGATTACCATTTTTCTGTTGTTATGGTGATCTAGTTCCATTTGTGACATGGAGTGGGGAGTATCAGGACTATGGTATTCCTCTAATTTCAAATAAACTAATTATTTCTTCCTTTGCTTGGCAGGATTGTGATAGGTTGCTTGACTTGAACATGGCCATTGCCAAAATATTCTTTGAATTAAATGAATGGAGGTGTCTTCCTCCTAATTTGTTGGAGACATTTCTAGAATTTTTTGAAAATGCTCTGCTTGGGAAGGTTTGATAAACATGCTAAACCTAATCCCTTTTAAGTTTTATTCCACAACTTAATTTGACTGAAAAATTGTTGGTATACAGTTATGCAGGGCTGCACGGTCTGGTAAGGCTGTCTGGGAAGAGCATTTAGTTCATCTCCTTTCATTTATTCCGAAATTTGTTTCACGTGGGGCAAGCTATTGGACATCTCGTCTTCTTCAGGTTTGACTTGCCATATGAATTCTAAATATTAATTTTATTTTTGTGGAACTTGGAAGCCATTAATTTTGGATATTCTTATTTTTGAATATTTGGTGGCTTTTGGTTTCTTCTTTGTTTTCATTGTCTATTGATATGTTCCTGTCAATAATTGCAAAAAATGTCACCTATTTTTAATTATTTCATGTTTCCAAGATGTTGTGAAGGATATGGTGAAAGCAAGATTTTGTTTTCACCATTTCCCTTGTGAATTCTTGAAAACAACAAAGAAAGTGAATATCATTGTTGTTGTTAGTGTAATTATATAAACTAAACTGAAAACAGAAAATAAATGGAACATTGCAGTGATTATCTCGTTTTATGCCATCTTGTTCCAAGTTTATGTTTATCCTTTCCTATAAAGGTTTCAATGTCGCTATTAACATGGAATTCTGGCACTTGCAGGCTTTTACCCAGACATTCAAGGAAAGCATGCCAGGTTCCTTGCTGAAGTTGGCCTGTCTTTCTGCTATTGAAGATATGCTAACTCCTGTAAGTTTGGCTTCATCTCATTCCAAGAACTTCCTTGACTCTTGGATAATCTTATGAAAGCAATTTATATTTTTCCCCCTCTCTCTTTCCAGATTAACATATGTTTTTGTCTTTGGTTCAAATCTAGATCCAAAGCATGCTTTCCATGGAGACTAGCAATCCAGAAAATTTAGAATTTCAAGATGCTTTACTTGCATGGATTAGATATCTCCCTCTGTTGCTTATCCAGCTTGGAGATAAACACCCAGCCTGCTCCCAGGTAGTCATTATTTTCATTTGAAAAGCAGTACTTCATGTGAAATTCCTGGATTTGACTGAATTGTGTGAGATTAATGTGCTTTAGTATTGATCTTAATTATGCAATTTAGTATCTCCTTTACCTTAAACGTCCAATGTTCATCATAGGTCGTCTTGCGTCTTCAACTTCGTATTGGACAATGTGCTTTGTTGAATCCTTCTCTTGTTTGCATGTATGACAACATGCAGTACTCATTGGAAGATTTTTATTGTACATGTCAAGAAGGAGGTAAATATGAACATGCTGTTTAGTTGGTATTAATAATACACTACCTGTGGGAGTTATTATTTGGCTTCTAATTGCTTTACTTTTTATATTGCAGGACCGATATGTTATGGTCCTTTTCTCAGGCTTCCTAGAGAATCTCAAGAGCTCTCTTTATGTTCCCTTTACTATTTCTCCCATTTGGACCTGCCTATTTTAAAGTCAATAGCTTGTTGTTGCCTAAGTAAGCTTTCACACTTGTTTAAAATTTCACTAACAATATATATTTTTTCTATTAATGTTTAGTTCATCATCTCTTCACTTTAACTTGTTACCTACTATCATTTGCATAGTTAATCTGAAATATTTATAAATTTTACCATGATACATCGTCGCGAGATCCATCTGTCGCAACCGAGATCGCGACGTACATGATGGCAAGTTATTAAAAGGCTTATCATTCAAATTTAAACACACAGCTATAGAGAAGAGGTTGTCTTTAAATTAGTTGAATATAAGATTTAGTTGTCTGCGGAGAATTTCTAATATATATATGTATATATATTTATAAAATAATTTCCAACTACTTTAGCTATGTCCACAAAGGTTACAACTTACAAGTAATATTTATAAAATAATCATAAAAACATGTAATTGTTGGGTCATCAAATAAAAAAGAAGATATTTGTATGACTTGGCAGCCTTATTTTGTATATATTTTATGGCCTACATTAAACAATGAAGTTAGGACTTTTCAATCAAGAAGTATAAAATGTGGTTTATGTTTGTTAAAATCTTGTAATGCTGATATGTTGGGACTTTTCCCCAGTCCTCACTCCTCACAAAGTAAATCTTGCAGCGACAGTTCTAATGTGTAAAACATAGTCCCTGAATTATCTGGAGAGATCCTTACAAATACCCTTTGTGATGATGTTGAGAAATAAATGTTTTGATTAGTTAATGCAATGGAGGATACTTTTGTACAGTACCTTTTCGTCATTTCCTGTAACAATGCTTTTATTCTGCAATGTAGGCAATGCCTTTTACTAATGGTATAAAATGCTGTACAAGTTTCTGTGTTAAAGCTTATGAATATTAATTTTGTTTTATACTTATTGGCTTATTGCAGGTTCAGATCTAGATCCCTATGTATTATTTAGGACTGTAGAGATTGTCCATTCAGCCTATAGAGATGGACATATAGCAATTGCAGATTACTTGAGTGTCTTCATCACCTTGGTCTTGCGTTTCAAAGTTTCTCCTGGTAGCTTACAAAGATTCATGTGAATTACTTGTTTGAACTTATAACATCTGATAATATCTATTTCTTGTTTCACTTCTCCAATTTAGTTCTTTTGTCTATTATGATCAGTAGCATTGATCACAAAGGACTAGAATGGGTTGAAATTGGCAATGCATAATATCTTCCATCTCTGACTTGTTAATTTTCATCTGTTCTTATCCATCCAAGTTGCACTCCTACCACCTATATCTGGCTGGTTAATTTGTAAATAAAAATATTTATATTGCCTTCTTTCCATGTTCTTGAGCTAGCAAAGTTACTGAATTGAGGAAAATACATAGTCACTGCTACATTTGTATAACTTGCTAGGAAGTTTTTGTTCATCCCAGGCCGGAAAAAGTTACTTTAGTTATCTTCAATGATTGAAATAGATGTCTGTCAATCTTTTTAACCTACTTTTGGTAGTTTTCTGGCATCAGAAATGTTATTCTTTTCAATTTTGCAGAAGTCGGTTCTGCTGGTTTTAAGGATGACCCAATCTGCCAAACTTTGAAGTCATTGACAACTGTTCTTTGCTCATACATCGCACAGATGGGTGACAATTCTCTTGTTCTACAGATGATTGAGAAAGTAATAGTCGATCAAATAGTAAGTTGACACAATTGTTTGTTTTTAGCTTTCTTTTGCATTGGTATTTTTTCTTATTTTACTTTTCTGGTGCTTCTTGTTGGCCCAGTTAGAGATTTTCCAGAAGAATGAGTTCTCATACTGATATTTTTGTACCACAGTCTGAAAAGCCTTCTTTGGATAATAGTTGTTCTCTCCTGAGAATTCTTGTTGCAGTAGATTCCAAGCCCACAAGACTTTCTGAACAAAGCATTATCACTCTTGGTCATCATCTTTCCGATTATCTGATGGATGCTATGCTGGTGAGTATGCTGCCAAAATCCTCTGACAAAAGCCATCATATAAGCTTGCTGCTATATTGTCTCCTAAATGTCTCACTTTATTCTTTTGGATACCCCAAATTATGCTTTAGGTTTTTTTTTGTTGTTGTTAAATTGCCCTTAATTGTCTTGAAGTCAAAATGTTTGGAATGTCTTTCTTAGAATAGTGGATTGAAGCCTAACTCAACCCTACAAAACCGGCTTGTAAGGTGAGGGTTGCTTTCCATTTATATACTATTTAATTGCCTAATCTCTAGTCGATGTGGGACTTGGATTTTTCCTAATACACCCCCCTCACATCCAGCACTATTGGGCTTGGTACGTGGATAAATGGTAGGTGACCCTTTTTTAATGATTTAGGATTGGCGGGACTTGAATACACTCCCTCATGTCCATGGTGCATGTATTAATGAATGGTGGGTGACTCATTTTTAAAACTCTAGGATAGCTATGATATTATCTTAAAATAGTGGATTGAAGCCTAACTCAATCCTACAAAATCGGCTTGTAAGGTGAGGATTGCTTTCTATTTATATACTATTTAATTGCCTAATCTCTAGTCGATGTGAGATTTGGATATTTCCCAATAGTCTTTGAAATAAAATAAAGATTATCATTGATTGGTACAATATCTTACTATATAAAATAAAGATTAACAACTTTTAAAAAGAAATGCAGAATCGAGCAATTTATTGTACTACAGGTGATGGCGGGAATGGTTTATAAATTCTACCTACTCAGATGATTGATCTTGGTTTCTTTACTTTGTTGGTAATTGTTTTTGGAGTTATCTAACAGCAGATATCAGCATCACAATTTTAACCAAAGTCATTGAAAAAATAACAACTTGATCTTCTATGGGTGCTTACACCCTACTATTGAAATTGAACTAGGACTAGATTCTTTTTTATATCTTGCATTAATTTACTTTTTATGGCTGAACGTTCCATATAATAAAAAGGTAGGTTTATAAAACTAACCCTTGAACCTCAAGGGTATTATTCCTAACAAATAATTTAGAAGGGCTGTTCATTTTCTCATCATGGTACTTCTAACTTTAGCAGCATCTATTAATTATTATCTTTTTTAAAAAAAATATTCTGCTAGATCCCTATTAAGTTATCTGACACTAGTAAGTGCTTCTTGTAATTTATCATAGTTTTTTTTTATTTTCTTTTCTAAAGCTATAAATTTTAATTTTTACGACATGAATTGATTTAATTATTATATATATATCTTAAAGTTTTGCTAGATTCCTAGTATGTTTTCCTAGTTAGTGCTTCTGGTAATTTATCATAATTTTCTTATTTTTTTCTTTTTATTTTCCCTAAAGCAATGGACCTTAATTTTTGCTGATATGAATTGATTTTAGTGCTTTGGTTAATTATATATTTCACTGTACCACAGTGCATTCCAGATGATGGTGATGAACGGGGAACTCTATCCATTCAATCAAGTACTCAGCATTATTATCTCCTACCTTGCTTTTTCTTGTTTGATCGGTGCCATAAACTTATGGGTCTTGTGTTGAAGAGAATGGGATCAGCTATAACGGAAAGTAGTTTGTCACTGGTATCTGATAAATGTGCTCAACCTGAGAGGAACTTCTTGATTAGGGTGAATGCTATTACTTCTGTACTTCTATTGATGCACAAGGATGCTAAATTGCAACAGATTATGTCTTTATTCAAGGAAGATATTGATAACATCATCCAGCAAGTTCTTTCTTTACAGGTAGGTTCAACATTGATGAGGAAAAAGAGCTATTGATTGCTATTTTGAAGCTTGCTGTTCATAAATATTACTTATCTACTACAGGAGTTTCTTTCCATTGGATAATACAACAAAATTGCGAGTTTTAGTAAAGGTTTTTAGTATTTTGTGATTGTTTGTACTCCAGTGTGTAGATAGATACATCCTCTACAGTGAGGATTTTTGGCGTGCAACTTTCTAGGGATGTGCACATCTTTTGCATCAAATACATATTGCTCATTTAGCATTTAATCCATTATATCACCTTTTTTTGGCTGCATACTTATAATTGTCCTTTGATTATTTTTTGTGTTTTAGTCATCAGGGCAGATCATTGTGACAATTGAAGAAAGGCATGAAATACAATGTGCGTTTGATCGACTAAAATTCTTATCATGACAACAATGGTCAGGAAAGATGTTCTGCAGTGGGAAACTGGTTCATGTAAGTTTTTCAAGCCGGAAAACTTTTATTTCTTTAGCAAATTTTTCTGACCTATCATTCATCTTCATGCTTATTGCTCACCCATTTTATTATATATTGCTGTTGGAATTCATTATTTCATTGTCTAGTGTGTATACCATACAATTATACATCTTCAAGAATTTCAGAATAATCCGTAGGGAAAAAGGCAAATTAGAATATTGAAGTTTTGTTCTGTGTGATTTAGTTGCTGGCATTTATAAGGTGCATTTCGTTATCTGATGTTTCTAAACTGTGCAAAGTAAAACTTCTATAGTTAATTCGTGACTAATTAACTAAGGATTAATTATGAAAGGGTTATTTTGCACATTTTAAAAACATTAGTAGTCGTCAAGGACTAAATCACACATGCTTTAGAGGTAGTAAATTTCATTTTCCTCTTATTTGTGCTTTATGGAGATACGATGATATTGGTTTGTCCACCAGTTTGAATTGAGCCATGCAGCATAAAGATGACCTAACTGCAATGTTGTTGAATTTACAAATCAATGTTTTTCATCTTCTTTGTCTTGGTCTTCCCTTTTTTTTTTTTTTTTATAAATCTTTTTTGAGATATCATGTTTATCTTCTTTATATCACTTTGTTCAGCATACTCTTGCTAGTAAATCTTTTGCTTCATTTGTTTGCATTCAGCCCTTCAAATAAATCAAACTATTCATGATTGCCATGGTCACCAAATAACATGAATAAAAAATTAAAAAATGCCATTAGTTGCTTAATTTATCCATGCATATATTTCATTATGATTAGTAATGGAAGTAGTTATTAGGTAGTTCTGATATGCTTTTGAGTCTATGACAGGATATTTGCAGACATAGTTGGTATAAAAGGGACCCTTTTGTTGTCAAATTGTTAGGCAGAAGGATATGGACCAAGCTCTGTGGTAGGCAATATGTCATAAATCGTGTTCAATTTATGAATATATTTATATTGGAAATGCATCTAGTGAGGGATTGTTTTAATGGGAGTTAGAGCCAGGCCACTAATTATATTACGAATGATCAAAATTAATACATATTTTTTTAAAAAGTTATGACTTTTTTAAATGGTCACATGACATTAAATCTTAACCATGCATGAGTAGTTGTATAATTCAGATTTACACTTCTCACTTCTGTAAAAATGGCTTTTTCAAAAGACATTCTTTTTTCCCCTTCCTCTCTCCCTCTCTGTATATATATACCTGAACCAGAGCACTGCAATTAACGTTTTAAAATGGTCTTGTGACCACTAAATAACTTTTAATATTAAGCATTTATGTTTGACCTGTATTTATGGTTCTCACATTCTTTAATGAAGTACTGTTTTCAATAGATATGCCTCTTACATATACATTTTGAATGTTGTTCTTTGTCTTTTGATTGTTCTGAGTTGTAATTTTTCTCTCTATTTTTAGTGAACTCTGGATCAAAATGGTTAAGGAGAATGCAATATTTTGCATACTTTGATAGTGGAGCAACTTGGCATCAGTTTTTTGAATCTCAGAGAGCATGCTTGGCATCCTCATATACCAACGTACTTTTCTTTGGATTATTTCGCAAGCAATTTTGAGGTCTGCTTGCAAGGCGCTATGTTTCACGGTGGAGAAATCTAAATTTTGCCTCCAATTTTGTCAATAGCATAGCAATGTTCTGTTCTACCAGTTAGGCTTGTGATGAGTGCCAATGGCCTAGACACAGTAAATACTGTATAATCTCCATGTTTATTTTCGTTTTCCTATACAACTATATTGTTACGACTAAAGACATCTGATAGCACCAAAATCTTGATGATAAGAGAACGTTAAAAATTAAATGAAATTATTTAAAGTAATTTAACAATCATACTAGGCGTACAAAATCAGATAACGCTTGTATCTATAGACAAATTTAAGACCAAAGTCTCATAATAATGAGATTTTGAGGATCATTTTAAAGTCGTCCAAAGCAGTGGTTTATTTATGTACTAGCTGCTAACCTATCAAACCACTTCCTAAACAGTATTTATGTGCTAGCTGCTGGTCGAATGATCAGATAATAAAAGGATCAATATTATGTCAAAGAAACAATCAATATTGGTATAGCAATGGAGATATATTACCCCCGGAAGCAGTCTGAACGCATTTATACAGATATGGGTTTCAAACGAATAAGTAAAAACAAATAATATAATTCATTTTATATTTAAATGTATTAGAAGAAAATATAACTTGAGATACTTGTATCAATTGACAATACCTAGTATGGGGAAGATTAATGTCTTTAAAGGTTGATTCAATTAGTAAGAATCAACCTCATCTCTTAAGAATGAGTTTGATTTTTGCTGTTGACATGAGAATCTTGTTAATGGAAAATTTGTAAATGTTGAGTGTTTAGGTTTGTCTTAACCTTGTGGTTTTCTGACTTTAGCCTCGAATTTAACAAAAGGTTATACAAATCAGTTGGCGTTTATGTAAAGAGGTGAAGACATAATTTCATTCCTGCGGATCTTGTTTTACGTTTACTTTACTAATTGTTTCATGCTAAGATATATCTTGGAGTACGGCCTGTTTAATTTCGTTGTTAAGAATTGTTTGAATCACAATTTTGGTATTATTATTATTATTATTATTATTATTTATTTTGTAAGGAGGTGTAGCTTTTTCTCACGATATAAGTCACTATCTATAGGCATATAGTGGTACCATGACTCCATGTTCAAGCCGAAAATTAAATTTCAATCATTGATTAAAGAGTATAAATATGAAATCATTTATATTATAATGACATTTAGTCAACTTTAATATGATTAAACTCTCATAATATATATATATATATATATATATATATATAT